TGCTAAATTAGGACGGCTAGCGCAGATAGACCTCGTGTAACTTTGCGCGAAATTAAAAAACAAAAACAAACAAAAAGAAGCCAAAAGTTTTTGACTAAGTTATAAAGTATAAGTGGCGACATCTCTTAGGTTAATCTATGTTTTTTCAACAATAATCTCAATAGAGGGCGGAACAAAGTGTTGGTGGAAGCAAAGTACACGATATATATGTGAGGTTTATTTGGAAATATTCAACAAGCAATTTGTTTTATATGTAAGTTTTATTTATATAAATATTAAAAGATGAACACATTGAATCATGCATACATAATTGTAGTAATGCTGATCACTATGGATAACCGTTTTGAAAATAACCTGATTATTAATTGATAATATTTCAGGTAAGCCAGTGGACTGGTGGTCTATGGGAATTATTTTGTACGAATTTTGTATCGGATGTGTGCCTTTCTTTGGTGAAACCCCTGAGAAAATATTTGCACACGTTATCAATGGTAAATACATGATTATATCTGTGAGTCCTACCCTCCAATGTCTCCTACGTTTCTGTTTGGTTTCATTTTTTTTCCTAATCAGCTTGCTATCCTCTGTTCTTTGTCTGTTGCACTAAGTGTTTTTCCTTAGCTTATTTCTTTTAGTTATTCATAGCGGTTTAGTACGAGTAAAAAACGTGTAGATGTAATTCAATATATACAGTTACGTAAGCTTCTTAAGGTTTTTTGCGCTCTTTTCATTTTGATTATTTTGACCCAACTTTATAAGCAAGGTCTGAGTGAATGTTTGCTATTGATCAAATTATTGTAATCAGAAAAAAGTTATGGGGGAATAGCAACACAACGTGCGCAGAATAAAGTAATTACAGTTCACCTTTTTACAGAATTACTTAATAGAAACTTGCGTCTCTCTCTGTCTCATTCTATATCTCTCTCTATATATATACACACGTATATGTCATTTTTTGTCAATAAAGTTACTGCAGTTTTGTTCGAATGGTAAAATTAATTCTAACTTTAGGTAAAAAAGCCTCATGTTAAAGTCACAGTGATTTACACCTAAGTTTACCTACTCTGTTCGTTTATCCCTGCAATAGTAACTTATATACATAACAATGGTATACTGTCAAAATGAGAAAAAGTTTACAGATAAAAGAGCTAACAGGGAGAATCAGTTGTATATCGTGCTTTCTCTAGATTATAAGACACTTTTTTTTTTATCTTCGTTCTTCTTCGAAAAACTAAGAATTTCATTTTGCCTTTCAATATAAACCTTAACTGTATTTTTGTTGTTGCCCAGATGAAGTTGAATGGCCGGATGAGGAAGACTGGGTTGTTCCGGAGGATGCTAAAGACCTCATCACTCAGCTTCTCCGTCAACATCCTATCGATCGTCTAGGGACTGGAGGCGCCCATGAAGTCAAAGAGCATCCTTTCTTCATTGGTCTGGACTGGGAGTCTCTTCTTCGTCAGAAAGCAGAGTTTGTGCCTCAGCTTAACCACGAGGAAGACACGAGTTACTTTGATAGTAAGCTCGTGAGAGATGTACTCAGTACCCGTCAAAAATTGTAAAATACCCACACTCATCTAAAAGTTGAGATGTTATATTCCGTGTTCGTCAAGATCATAATACTTTTTTTAACTACTCGTGTGAGATGATTCTCGCTGTTAGTCAAAATTGAGGTTCTTTTTTTTTCATTACTAAATATAATACGAGTGTCTGTACAGATATAGCAGGTTTAGTCAGAAATGGTGAAATCATTGCAGTTATGATGTACATGTAAGATGGCTTACCATCTTTTGTCAAAATACAAATGAGTTTTACAATAGATGAGAAATAATTCTCCATATTTGTCAAAACTGCGATATTTAATTTAATACTATGTTTGATATCTTTCGGAGGTGTGTATCCCATACTTGATACAATTATAAAAAACAGCTTTCTTTTGAAATGAAATTCTTAGACGTCTGTTTCTCTTTTTTTCATTTTGATATATTTTAAACGAATAATAATCTGTGAACTGAGATGTCGGACTAAATAACTAATAAAGTTACTCTCTTAAATTGTAAGCTCAGCCTAGATAGGATATGTTGTGGATAATAATCATGGAAACTGGGAGAAGAGAAACAAAAGCCAGTCATACAGACAGACTTACTTCATGTGTAAAACCTTTTTCGAGACCAGACATGGCATGGTGGTTAGAGAGCTTTACTCGCAATCTGTGAGTCGCGGGTTCGAATTCCGTCACCGAACATGCTCGCCTTTTCAGCCGTGGGTGCGTTATAATGTGACGATGAATCCCATTATTCGTTGGTAAAAGAGTAGCCTAAGAGTTGGCGGTGGGTGGTGATGACTAGCTGCCTTCCCTCTAGTCTTACACTGCTAAATTAGGGACGGTTAGCGCAGATAGCCCTCGTGTAGTTTTGCACAAAATTCAACAAACAAAACTTTTTTTTACTTAAATATTCTCAATGTTTGCACATATTGTAGAAATAGTTTTGTGGAATTATTTTCGTGAATAGGTAAATAAAAGTATGTATTTTTTTACACATTTTCAAATAAAAATCACGTAAGAAACCGTGTAATGAAACACAACAAGATTAGGTAATACCTCTACCTTGAAACTAAAAAATGAAAGACAGTTTAAAATTTGCATTATTAGATTATAATTGTAAAAAACCTGAAGAGTATATGTTGAAAGTTTACAATAACTGACTATATTCTTTCTAATACATACTATGACATCATATATTATAGGTGTTTTTTTCTACTTCTGCGAGTAACTTCAGCTAACCAGATATTTTTCAAGTCGTATAAGATATGAGCTCCGAGTTAACTGAAATCAGTTACTTTTTGAAATATCCACATGTATTGAGTATGATTTTTAAAAACCAATATGCTAAGAACATCCAAAGGAAAATCAATATTTGCTACAATAAAGAAATAGTTTTTTTAAACGATTTATCTTAAGATAACAGAAACATTTTTCTTTAGAAGAACAAAACACATTTTTCTATCACTATTATAGCAAGATCTGAAAGATACAACCATGAAATGGAAGAATCGGAAGAGATGGATGACACTGATGACAGTTCGCTATTCAGTAGCTTCTCTTCCTGTTCTCCACAGTTCATGAGAGTCTACTCATGTGTGGAGAAGGAGCTGGATGAAGAAAATCTATTAAGAGTAAGTTACTCGTTTATAAATTATTATTTTGGTTAAAGTATCGAATTGTTGGATTAATATAATCTATTGAGAGTGAGCTATAAGTACTCAACACTTCCATGTGTTTAGCGTATTTGAATTGAAATAATGTGTTGAAAGTACCTTATCCTGTTGTTTGAAAGACATAGTTGGCAGATGAATCTCAACTGATGATGAACGGTACGAACTACTTACTTGTGCCTGTTCACTTTCGTAGATTTTCATGAGAGTAAAATGAAACGTTGTATTTCAACGAACTTTTTCAGGCAGTAGTCCACGTTATCACTCATCAAAAATTACTTATTTGTAAATCAGTTTCATGTTGTTATATAAACATAATGTGTTACGAGTCAGTTATTATTTTGTAATTACACCTGGCTTGCGATGGTTTTATATGTTCTGCAGTAATTCCTGTACGCTAAATCCGAAAATGATATCTATTTTTGTCCATCACGTACAAATTTTTCACAAAACGTCATAAAGCAATACATAAAAGACCATAACACGTAGTTTTGAGACTGAAAGACGTAGATGAATGGTGATGGCTATTCGTTTGACATCAATGCTCTTCCCTTTTCTTCGGTTTATTTGTACTTTTGTTAACAAACATAACATTGTGGTAAACGAAATAATAATATGATTTAAGTAGGAGTTTTTGTTCTTCCCGATTTGTAAAAAATTCTTAAGTGATAGAAAAATATGAATATTGTTTTCGAAATCGGCGTAGTTGAATTATGGAAAATCCGTTAATAAAACCAAAACAACTTTTATGAAGTTTAAATTCGTAGGCCTGTGTTGTTATTACTTTTCAGCTTGGATTGGATGGATTAAGATAATGTACTGAGAGTCAGTTACTCCTGTGTAATTATTATTACTCTTAAACATGGAATAGATGAATTAAGATAATGTACTGAGAGTCAGTTACTCCTGTGTAATT